TTTGTCTTCGTAACTAAAAATTTAATGTGCAGGGAATTTTTGGAGCCTTTAAAAATAAAAAAGTTCCGACCAGAAACGGATCGTGAAAGCAGATGATACCTTGTCAAGAATTATTCTATTCCAGTCTATTATATTTCCGTATTTACACTTGTAGGGAAGGGGGGGGGGGGCGGTGCGGGGGCTCCAGCGGTGCGAGGGAGGGGGAGGACTAGCGTAGACTAGCGCGGCCGGGCCGACGGCTCGGGGCTCGGGCTCCGCTCGGCTCGGCTCCGCTCGGCTCGGCTAGTGGCTCGGCGCAACAACGCGTAGCGCGAGCGACGCGACGGACGCGACGGCCTCAGCCACCCCACGGCCCCGCCTAGCAGAGCCCTGCAGCGGGCGAGCGTCTAGGCTCGTTTGTTGGACGGTGGTGTGAGGTGGGATAGGTAGCGGTGCCCCGCCCGCTCCCCCACTGCAGCGGCGGCGGCCCGAATGCGCTCGGGTGACTGTTGCCGAACGGTGGCCGAACTAAAGGAGCCTCTCAGGCTCGTTTGGCTGTCGGGCCAGCTTGGCCCGACTAGGCCCGGCCGGCCCCGCACCTCGTGTCTCGCTCGCCGCTCACCTTCCCCTTCCCTCCCTCGCTCCGGCCGGCAGCCGTCATCCGTCCTCGTCTCACTCAGCTGACTCAGGGCGACTGATCTGACGTCTTGCGTGCGTGTGATTGTGTACAGTTTAGTAATTTCGTACGGTGCAAATTTTGAGCTACGCCCGTCAGCTGCGAGCGTTTGAGTGTTTGGAATAATGTCTTCTTCAAGTACTGAGGACGACGAAAGTGTTCCGGTAAGTTTGATTTGTTGCCTCACATGGCAAGTGTTGTTGAGCGTCGTGCACGTGCACGTACATTAACATTTTGTGTGAGGGGCCGTCCACATACTCATACTACGTCACGCAATTTGGGCCAATTTTTGACCCCCCCTTCCATGTAACGCCCCCCCCCCCTTACGTCACATTCTTGAAAAATACATGTTTATTTATATGAATCGCATCGGCTCTGTCAGAAATTATTTCTACGAGGACAATTCCGGAATAGAGGGCAACGATGTAGATCAATTAGGTCGATTATGCTCTTCAAAAGCCCGCAAAAATGTTACGTAACGTTCAAGCGCCCCCCCCCCC